GTCATATCCTAGACCGACTCTAGCTTAGCCAGTGAAAGCTTCGTCTTTTTGAACTGGTCGTTTGGTGTCAAATTCGTCTGGACGGATAGAATCACAGGTGCGCACATCGGTTGGCCGTCGCAAGTATACGCCAAATCGCATCCAAAGTACTTCTGCATGGTGCATACCAAGAAGGCACTGATCAACGCCGAAAGCATCTTTTTATTTTTGTGGGAGAGCTCTCAATTACATCTTGTTCACTGCGGATGATGGGCGTGTCAGTGAGACTGTGTCCGGTGCACCGCCAACCCGTTCTTGAGTTTTTGAAGCGGGTAAGCAACAACAAATGGTGGAAAACGACTTATACAAATGGTATAATAGAGTCTTCTTGCTTGCCGGAAGAAAAAAAAGGGATGGAGTTGCTCCCAAACCTTCCACCTAACACGCCCGTGGCAATCATCGGCGGCGAATAAGCCTCTGTTTAAACGGGTTTCCTTCGTGAATAGGTGACAACACTGTCCATATAACCGGGATTCTGTCGTCAAAGGAACTTATGTTTCGATACAAACTGGGTCAAACAAATATAATGTCCTTTCTCCAGCGTCAGACTACAAGCATGTTAGCTGAGAGCGGGAACTGCCAAGTTCTTTCTTGACTACCAGGAAGTGTCGATCCTCCACTTTCTGGAATGATTTCTGTTAGTTCGAAGACGCACCATGAATTCCGTTTGTGTTCTCGCAGCATACCCCGATTATGATGACTTTTTTTCACATATGGTTGCTCTTAGATTCCCCCTGTATCATGGGGAGAAGTGGAAGATTTTTTCTGAGAACTACGGAAATTAGGTAGATGGAGGATGGCAAAGGTACAAGAAAGAAATTTCGAAGGAGGGGCGTATTTTGAAACCTTTCTTCCTTCTTTCTCTACGAAAGGACGAACATTGTTGGAATCCTTTCATTTCAGGTACTTTTTATACTCAATGATCGCGATGACCCTACTATTGTTGGTGGCAATCACTGGTCATTGCTCGTATTTGATCGTGGAACTTCACGATTTGAGTATTACGACAGTATGCGGCCGGCTAAAGACGCTGTCGCCAGACAGGTTTGAAATAATTGCAATATGCACTTTGTGTGCCTTTGTTTCGCGGTTCGGTTTTTTTTTCGAATTACATTTTTCAGCTCGTGAACATAATTAAACCAGTTCTTGATACTACAGAAGTGTCGTTTGTGATTGTCGATTGTCCTCAGCAACGTAACAGCTTTGACTGTGGGATGTATGTTATCGAATTCGTTCGACACCAACTGAAGGTTCGCCGTTCTCGGGAATAAGATCCTTGGCGCAGTTCGGCTTGGGAGGAACGTTTTGAGCTTTCGTCAATTACTTTAGCTTGATTACGTCCACCAGCAGTGAGAGCTGTTGTCTCCTGCGAAATTGCGAAATAATAGGAGTGGGCCATTTCGGTGACAAGAATTCACAGGTCTTTGAATGTCTGAACTAGCTTCACCAAATACCAGTTCATACCCCTTCCAAGCCGAGCAGCGCCAGCTTCTCAAACTGTGATACAGTCTGGACTTGGGGAAATAGGTAGAAATGATCTTTTCCTTTGCAGCTGTCAGAAGATTCAATGTCCTTGGGTATCAGTAGTACCTATATAGAGTCTGAGCGGCAACATTGGCAGGATACCATCATTTCATTATCTAAGGCTCAGTAAACTACGCGGCACTGCAATGAACTTACTATCAATTCCTTCTTTTGAACGTGATTAATAAAGAATTCTTATGTCTAGTCCTACTCAAAATACTACAAATGGTTCACACCAATAATTCTTTTATTTCCTTTTTGATAATTTCTCCGTTACCCTTCTCCACGCCTCGTTCAAAATTTGTTGTTGCAGTATGATTACGCCCACGTTCAGTATTGTACAGGATGATAAATGGTTGATTTTTATAATACGCGCCCCGTATGCGAAAATTGCAGACACAGAAATTGAGTATAGTGATGATATCTTCATGTTTTCTGCACCTCCATATTATCTCAGGTGGGAAATTGAAGTCTCTCGAGAAAGCGTTCATATTTTGCTATCGAAGCGATCGATTCGCAAAGTATGAACGCCCTCTTAATAGAGAAGCATGAACGCACTGCAATGTGCATATGGAGGATGTAAAGCCTCGACTCCTAAATGTTCTGCAGAGTTCATCTACCAAGAGAGGTTGTGGACGACAACACCGGAACAGCCAAATACGATTCATCTCTTGGTGAGTTGAATCTTTTTGAAGTTACAAGTTTTCGGTTACAGACAAGATTGTGAAGTCCACCTTTCTGTGCTTCAGGTGAATTCACTGTCCGCGTTCCGAAGAAAAATGTTGGCGAAAATTTTCCTGGTCTAGACATGATCACAGAGCTTTTGAACCCTCAAAAGAAAATTAGTGCTCAACACTTGGTCGAGGAGATGTGCAACACTGATGATGAAGAAGAAGGTGCGTTTGAAGAAGGAATATGTAGATCTGCGGTGTATGAAACTCGACTTCAGATGAATCTGAAGGTAGCGAGTACTTTGTTGAGCAAAAAGTGACTGATATTCAAGCGGGATGTAGCGAAAACTGCAATGACGTGTATGGTTATGGATTTGCATGGCGGCGTAAAGGAATTCTCGGTAAATTTTTTCCTGATGTTTCACGTTTTCAAAAAAGCTATGACCGAAATCAGGCGCTGCTCGGCCTGGAGGGACATTTCGCATCCGCGTTAGTTAACAGGTCTCACTTTTGCCAGCACTGTGAACTCCTGCGAAGCTGCGGATTTGTTCGTGTGAGCGATTCTGGTACAGGAGTTGGCAGGTCTTCTCAAGGTACCTGTAAAAGCTCAGCTCGGTACTTTGAGCTGCGCCATTCTTTTTGGATACTACGGTTCAACACCTATCCGCATTCCCACTGCAGTACTCCGTTGTTGACTCTAACGACTGTGGAATAATGTTATTTTTCTTTGCTAGAGAGCTATGTTTAGCTAGCACAGGAATACTGAATCAAGCGCAAAAGACTGGAGATTCCAGCCCTCAATAGATCCGGCGCTGTTCGGCTCGGTTGAGCACCAGATGTTACCAGCTGAGGTGGTGCAGGCTAAATCGTGAAGGCCTCTTAGTTCCTGTAACCAGACTGGCTCACTCCAACAATTTCGCACCTTTACATGAGTTTACAGGTCTGACCAGTGAGACTAGTTAACATGAACTTACAAAGGCAACTAGCATAATTTTAAAATGCCCCCTGTTAGTAGAACAGCGCCGGAAGCTGCTCACGCTTAGTGCGAAAGTGCCGAGCCAAGGGCCACCATCCACCATCTCTGAGGACTAACATAGGGTCGAGATTTTTGCAAATTTGAGTATATCTCTTCAAAGGTCAGCTAAACGAAGAAATTGGTGGACTTGTCGAAATCACCGATCCAGAACATTCCGTAATTCAAGAAAGGAGCGAACAATGCGCTGAACGCGATGCCGAGGCATTCGATGCTGAACGTTACTTGTAAGTTTGCTCTGCTGACGAATTGTAATGTAAGAGCATTTTCAATAGAAAACGCAGTTGGAAAGCATTTCGTTTCATTGTTGAGGTTAGATTTGTTGGAACCTGAAGATGCCCTCAAACATGTACTCTCGTTAGATTTTGGCCTGAGACTTGATGTGGACGCAGATGATCGTCAGCGTCTCAAAGATTTTCCAAGGAAGCGACTTCCTGTGTAGGTTGAGAGACTTCTTTTGAATGCCCTTTTGTCCAGAGCCTTAATCGCTGCGGATGAGGGGCGTGTTAGGGGATATTGGTTTGGCGCAACGCTAGCTTTTTTTTTTTTTTTCGGCAAGCGACGATATTACCATATCGCTGCTATCAGTGGTTTTCCATGAGCTGTTTTCGCTAACTCGCTTCTACAACCAGAAGACGGTGGCGCCGCGCCAAACCCGTATCCGCGGATGCACCCCTTCATCTGCAACGAAAAAGCCTGTATGCATTTTATTATAAGAAAGTTCTGCATGCGTTTAGTTCCCAACTTACAGAGGAGGAAACGGTTATCAGCAAGTCACATGCTTACCACCGTGCGAGGCTCTGGGGATCATGATACCCTAATAGCTGCTACCGCTCTGAGCAACGTCAAGTCCGTTATACCCTCCCGAGGTGGCGGTTCGTCAAAAGGTCTGGCTGGTCCAGTCGGTCAATGCATTCGATAAGCCACCTAAGACTGGGGATGGGAGTAGGACGCGGTTGATGCATCTCAAATAGAAAATGGGAGAATTTTGCTTGTCAAGTTAGTCCAAGGATAGGGTACGCATCCGTAGCCTCTACGATTCTAAATCGAAGCCGAGTACGTGGCGCATCGTGGAGAGAGTTCTCCAGTTCAGCACTCTGCATGTTTCACAACATCTCGACGGCGAGAAGATCAGCTTCTAAATCATGGTCTCAATCCTATAGTTCCGAGTTCCGAGTGAAAAGTGGTAGCAATTAATCATCAGCAATCACCAGAAGGTGATGTAGTGGCAGGTATTGCCGCTCACCCCACACTAGCATAGTCTGAGGAGCGAGCAAGCAGGCTATCCATTGCACCACAGGTCGTTCACTGTAGGTACCGGATTTCTCTAGGAGGATTAATATGCTGCCTTATACATCTGGTAATCCACATCTTATTCGATAAGCCATCTTTCTCAATGGAAGTGGAGTGCGTGATGCATCCCAAAAAGGACTGATTAGCAACAGAGACTTTATCCTTTTACCGAAGTGGATTTTCGTCACAACCGGGTGAATCACACTTTTTTTAACTCGCTTTTTCAGATTATCAGTGGAAAGCAGCGAAGTGCTGTCGCCTTTGCTTTGATTGATATTGTGTTTTGCATTTGCATATGGATTCGAGGATAAATGAATGGAAGACAGTGTTTGTGAAAGCGCTGCAACATCGCTGAACGCTTGTCTCCAAGTTTGGGCGTTTTTCTGTGGCCATTGGACTGGGAATGCCATGGTGGGGCGGGAGGAGTGAAGGTTAGCCTGTCTGAATAGTTTAAAGACAGCCCCGCGCGATCAAAGTGGCTCGTGGTCGCCTTTGCTGTGCAAGTAGTCTAGCCTCCAAGCTAGAAGACTGTTCACCTTTCGCGACTCTATTGTGAGCGTGGAGGCTGCTATAGCCGCTCAAAGTGCTAGTTCTAACTCCTCCTCAGTCGGACCGCCTTTACTTGCTAGATGTCCTCCGACGGAGGCCACTCACTTGTTCTTAGTTGGGGCGGCGGGCATTGCTAATGCCCCTGGATAATTCTGCTCTCCTTCATTACAGTTTACTCATTGGAGTATATATCATTCCAATTCAACCCATTTCGCGAGTGAAACACGTAAAAAACACGAGTGACGCAATTTTCGTGATGCAAAACCACGACGCACAAAAGGTGCGCTACCGTAATCACAAATTCAGACACCGTGTTGATAAAATTCCTTTTTCCTTCCCAGAGTTTTTCCTCTGCGTTTTTGTTGTTTTCTTTTTGTATTCTTTCTTTTGCACTGGATGATATCAACTACTGCGAGATGTGATAGAGAGACTTGTGAGCTAGGGGCTGCACAGAGACCGCAGGGAGGTGTAACTGTGAGGGAGCGATTTTGTTTATGTTGTTCTGGAGAACGCTTCTTGCCTGTTTTCTTCTTTGGGAGATTACTTATCAGCTGCTGTTTCATAATTGGAAAGCAGCTATCCATGAGACTTTTATCGCGGGAGCTGTCTTTAAGTCGAAATTCAAACGTATCGTCACGTCATCGTGAGACTGCAACAGCAGGACCTGACGTAGTTAAGTCCCGCCTTTCGAGACAACCCGGAAGTCGGCTATGTGCACAGTCGAGGGTGTTCATCATTCCGGGTCAGTATTGGAAAGCTAGCTAT